ATATTGCCCCTCAGAGACATTCACACAAAAAAGACAAACACAAATGTGGATGTTGGGCAGTAAGCTGTAGGAGGTGGGGGTGCCTGGGAGGGACACCCAGCCAGGCAGGAGCAGTGTCCATTTGAGATCAGCTCCTCTGGACAACATCAAGAAGCTCCGGTAGATTGTTTGGTAGAAGTGGTTTATCAAAAACAAGGAGGAAGGTCTTTCTTGACCCCCTCAAAATACTGAAGAACAGCGTTCAAAACATGAAGCGTTGAAGAGTGGCAAGGAGGCATCAGAGCCCCATATTTAGACACATGATGGCAGTGGCAACTTTCTCTTTCAGTGATAAGATCTGTATGACCTGTTTCTACCTTGAGCCCCAATTTTCCCACTGGAAGACAAATGGAGTACAGCCAGTAATACAGAATGGTGATGTTTCACTCTCTTCTTAGAACTCTTCCTGAACCTTTCAACACAAGGGCATCGTCCAATTGATTTTTTTACATGTTAAAATGCACCTACAACTACTGTCCCTACAACCAGCAAACTCTGTGAGACACAATCCTGGCCCAAAGACAACTGGATCTATCTATCTATCTCAAGGGGTTTTAAACTGGTACCAGAAAGGGCCGTGTGGCTGCAGGTTTTCTTTCCAACCAAGCAATAGCACACCAGACTCCATTCATCTCATCAAGTAATCATGTTAAGATTGGACTTACTTGATGAGATGACTCAGCCTGCAATCTGCAGCCAAACGGCCCTTTCTGGAACCAGTTTGAGATGCCTGATCTATCTGTTATTGGACTTCTACTCTACTCGTAGTTTAACTAATTTAAACAAAAGAAAGCTGCCCCCCTTTTAACAAGTATTTGAAAATGTAAAAAGAAAGAGGTGAATGTTTATCAATCATATATTTGTGACACAGCATCCAAAAGTTCTTGGTTTCTTCATCTTATGCCAGATGCTTGTTCTGAATATCCTTTTTTGGCTTAGATGGTTTCAGTTGTTCTTCTGTAAGTTTATGTTCTGCGCCTCAGTGGACTTAAGCAGCTTTGTTTGTCTTCCAGCCGGCCTGCCTGCCTGCTTGCCTCCGGATAGTATATCGGCTCTTCCAATCCCTCTATCCGTGAAACTCTGTCTCATCCCCAGAGACATAACTGCATTGTTTCAGAGAAAGAAAAGTAGACAAATTGTATTGAGGAATGTGTCTGAAGGGACTTTTGTGAAAATGTCCCCTTATTTATTTATTTATTTTTTATTTCTCCTATAGTATACACAGGAGAACTGTTTGACTAAAGTAAAAGATCGAAACATTGCCAAAGAGTTTCTTTAAAAAAAAGAAGGAACTTTGTAAATTGTGTCCAAGGTCATGATGTAAAATATTTGTATGGTTCACCTTTTAATGTCATGTATATAATAAGATATTTAAAGGTGAACCAATAAACTATTAGGATAAATCTTGACCTGAGAGAAGGTTTATTGTGAGGCATGTATTAACACAAGGACAAAAGAGACATCAAATGCATCAAGCACACCAGATGAGATAGAACAGAGTATTCGATCGATAAAGGCAACCAGATTTTAGCAACAAGTTTGGTAAAAAAAAAAATCTTTGTTTTAAAGAATCAGTAATCAAAAAGTGAGGTTTGAGTCCATCTTAATATTGTGGTTTGTAAGCCCATATAACTTTAATTTGGCCCAATGACAAAAAGCTCTTAAGAAGCTATCTAATGTTTTACAAATATCAAAATAAATATCAGTTTAATTCTGAATAATTTAGTTCAGTTTTGGAAATTGTTGAAAACTTTTTTTTTTTTTAAAGTAGAAAATAAAAGGCGGTTAACGCTTGTTTAAAAGGGAGCAACAGAACAGATGACAACTCTGGCACTGTTAGCAGCAAGCATTTTCCAGTTGTGCTAATCTTATAAGGCTTAAAAACAAAACCTTTTTTTCTTATACTCTGCCAACATTACTTTTCTTTTTTGTGCTGAGTTCCCAAAATGCTGCCAGATGAAGGACTTAAGCACGGTGGAGGCTTAACTGATGCATGAGAGCAATCTGTTTGAATTCAAACACTTCCACTTAACATGATAAACAAGACAAAAAAAAAATGTTTTTCTTCAAATAAGACTCTTTAAGACATAAAACAGCTTAAAGCATATATCTTAAAATCTGGGGCTCTTTACAACATCTTACATGCAGTAACATGCTTCCTGAGTTGAATTGACTGTAACAAACTGTAGGGGAACAGCCAAAGAAAATCAATAACATGGCTAATAATATTGTTTTTATCACCATTACATTGCTTTAGTATTCATTTACTAAAAAACAACTTTTGTTTTTGTTTTTTTTCCCGCTGAAATTTTTACTTTAATGTACAGCCATGAGGCACAAACTGAAAATGTAAAAGAAATGAACCAAAGTCATTATTTGTCTGGCAACTGAAAAAGCCATTATTGAAGTCCACTGCGCCACAACATCAATCATCAGGTGTTTGGCTACTAGCGTTTAGGTCATTAAGGGCACAACAAATATGAGGCCTTAAAATAGGCACCTGTATTTACGTCAAATGAGCTCATCGATAAAATGAACCTGAGAAAGCCCGGGGAAAACACCATAAACTCTTCATTACTTATAAGCACAGCCCACTAGACAGAAGGACAAGAGTGCATTCGAGTAGAGAAGCATGAACTGAGCTAATTTCAGTGAAGCCATCACTGGATGGAAGCTGTAAATTTTTCAGAGGGAAAGACAGCCTTAAAGTAAAAAAAAAGGCCAATCTAAGACAGAAAAAGAGAATGTGTGTGTGGGTGTGTGTGTGTTGGTCTCTTTAAATAGAGATGCAGAGGGTAAGGAGAGGACATGGAGGTGAACATGGCAGGAGAAGAGGGAAAACCAGGCATCCGCTGGCCTGACATAATTAACAATCTCAGCTTGTGTGTGTGGAATGATGTGACTGTGTTTCACCGACTGCATGTCTGCCCGATTTGGTTTATCTGTTGGTGTGCTTAGGGACAGATGGTGCCACCAAATACTGAATGCAGATGGTCTTTGTTTAGACCCAGAAAAACAACTTTTTCAGTGTCTCACATCATTCATACATTCATGATTTTGGATTAGTAGTACTGCAGGGATTCAGTATGTCACAAGTTACACAACGGGGTACAAGACTAAAGCAGACCTCTACTGTCTAAAGGTCACCTTTAGTCTTAAAAATTTCGTTCTGGTGGTGAACAATTAACAATTGTCCTGTTAGAAAGATTTCATGCAAGTGGACCATATACAGTTTTTTTTTCTGTGCAAACTAACGACCCAATAAAAATAAGTTACTCTTAGAAAAAAGATAAAATTTTTGTGGTTCAAAAAAATCAGCCATTTTTTTTCTGTAGATTTTTATGCCGTCTTCCCCACTGTCAGAGTATTACTATGAATAAAGAAAAAATTAGCATGTTCAATCGCTTTAGTGTACATAAAAGTCTAAAATGAAGCTGAGCACAAGCAGAGAAAATACCAGAAGGAAGAAGCACTTTGATGGTGTTAAAACTGGAGGGGATTTAGATGCTTAGATGCTTGATGTCCATTCTGAATTTGTCTCCTCCTTGACCAGACATTAAAGGTACAGTATAGTGGAGGATTTAAAATCTGTTATTTACATTTATAGTATAGTGAACATTTTAAAAGACCTGCCTTCTCCACTTTAAAAAAAATTGCACATGCACAACCCTGTACCTGCTCCCGAGATGGAAAGCCAATTAAACATTTGGGAGAGCATCCAGGAGCCCATTTCTCCTCGTGCACGCTCTGTTTAAAAGTTGCTGTTCTCATAGCTCATACAAACTTAATGTGTCCAAACGGCCGCTCTAACCACTAAATCACTCAATCACCACATACTGTAGAGTGGGGACTATCACTTGATAGTAAACTCAGTAAACTGACCATTCGGACAGATGATAACTGCTTTTTTGCTCCATTGGTCACCTAACTTCTCCTCGACTGCGCGGTACCTGCACCATTTTGTTTATTAGTCGCCACTGTCGGGTAGCAGCAGCCTATGGCGACAGCAGGCCACTGTGACAGCAAATCCCATAATACTTTGCGAGGCGAGCTCTCCACGCAAAGCATTATTGGATATATCTGCCTCTTCTGAGGCATTTCTTTTCTTCTCATTCACTTCATAGACACTTTTTCTCTTTAACTTTCCATAAAATCCTGTGCCATTTCTATGACGCAGGATTTTACATATGCCACTAAGCACAAAAAAAGAAAAGAAAAGAGGTGGCTATTTTATATTGTGTATCCTATGAGGTACTCACCCAGGTATATTGTGTATATGAAGTTCCAAACACCCCTTAGCCTCTTCTGTCAGTTTGTACTGAAACGTCTAACAATTTAGCCTGAAACAAAGACAAAAATAGTTAAGTAAGTACATATCATAATTTTTTGTTTACTCCCACTGCACTGGGAGAAAAAGGATTTTAAAGGTTAAAATAACTTAATACATCAGAGTACATTTAATGAGAAAATAAAAAAACTACAAAATGAGCATTATTATTAGTAGGCAATGAGACAAAAACGATTGTCAAGATGATACAATGAAAGGAAATGTTCGTGTTGTCCTATCTGCTTGCAAAAATGAACCCAAGGCCAAATATACTATGTACAAAGTTGTACTGTATATGGCAACAAAGTATGCCAAAATAAAAGTAAACTTAAAAGAAAAAAATCAACTTAGCTATATTCTGTCTATCTATTATAGATAGATAGATAGATAGATAGATAGATAGATAGATAGATAGATAGATAGATAGATAGATGATAGATAGATAGATAGATAGAGTAGAATTTAGCTTTTTTCCGACTTTTACACAAGAACAATTCACCAAATAGAACATTTTAGACAAGACACTCAATTATAGAGAAAGCAGGGAAATTACGAAAACCATACAATCTAGAATAAATTTCAGAAATGATTTTTTTTCTTTCTTAAATCACGCAGATGGCCAGTATTTTATCACTTATACTATGTCCCAGAACATTAAAAATATTATTTGCTAATATTTGCCTTAACAACCAATGATAAATATACTTTTATTTTGTTTTTTACTTTTTTATTTTTGCACTCAGCTTTGCTTTATTCTGTACAACATCTACCTTGTTTTGACAATGTTTGAGCAGAGTTTAAAGTTTTTTTTTAAGCTTTTAAAGTGTGTCATGAAAGTGCTGGTTTTAGACGTGCCTCTTTCTCACTTAATTGTGCTTCTCCTCAAGCTGTCAGCTGCTCGTTTCTCAAAGAGAGAAACAAAGCTTCAAATGGAGTCTTTGTTAGCAGGATAGGCTTTTGAATTTCTACAAGATCTGCTCCTATATGCTTTAGGAGAAAAACAAAAACTTAAGACATAAATATACACTGAAAAACTGCTGAAATACTTTATGATCAGGATTTCATGAAGACTGAAGTTAGTTTAGAGTGATTCTAAACACTATTTGTCAAAGCCGTTTTAAGTTACAGCCATACAATTTAGTGCACCATATTATGGGATTTTAATTGTTTTTACAAAATTAGTCAGGAATGTGGAATGGAAGGAAAGGTACACATGGTTTTGTCCTTTATTGTACTTAGAAATCTGAAAAGTGTGGCATGAATATTTATTTATCATACCTCAGTTAACACTTAATAGAACATTATACAACAAAGTCAGCTGCAAGTCTTTATTAGTAAATCTCTACCAGCTCTGCAATAAAATTTTTAGATTTTTTAAAATAAATGGCTGAAGTTCAATCAGAGCAGGTGGAAAGTTGCTCATCTTTTAAGTCTTTTCACTGATTCTCTGTTGGATTTAGTTGTGGGCTTTGACTGGGACACTCTAATGCGTTAATATGCTTTGACTGCTGCTCTGGTTAGAGCTGGGTGAAATTTCTGTTTATGAAGATTTAGTAGAAGATTTAGATGTTTTTCCCTCTAATCCAGTCCTTTAGCTTCCATATCCTTGAGTGACATAACTTCTTGTTCTTAGATGTCTATTCATAACTTATAGACTTATTGTTACTTTGTTGTTGTTAATTATCCTTTCCCTTTAAACTGAGGACACCTTCCAGAGGGATAATCAAAATAAAAGCACTTTGTGGAAACTAATGCATGTTGGAGATTCAATTTCTAAGACTTTGGCAGAAATTAAATTGATTTTTCAACAGATTTTTTTCTGTATTTGACCCCAAGCCTCATTCTTATAAATTATACAACCTCCATGTCTTTGCTGTAGAAATGAACCCCTGCAGCATAATGCTGCTACCACATTGATTCATGGCCAGGATGCCATGTCTAGGGTGATGTGTAGTGGTGACTTCTTACCTAAGTCTGCATTCTGTATCATTAAATGATGCCTTTTTTTTTTTTTTTTTCATAAAGGCAAGATACGTTAAGGGTCAAATCATATACTGCAGTTTTTCTGCCCACAGCCTTTTACATTTACAAGACAGAGTTAAACTTTTTGTCCACATGTTTGCTGTGTCCCCTGCATGGCTTGTGGGAAACTGCAAACAGGTCTTAAGCTTTCTTTTAAGATTGGCTTTCTGTCATTCTTTGCAGCTCTTCTGGAGTTACTGTGGGCCTCTCAGCTCTTTTATTGATTACTTCTGCCTGGCCTCTCAGTTTAGTTGGATGCCTGCATCTTTGTAGGGTTGCAGCTGTGACATACTCCTTTCATTTTCATATAGAAAGTGCCCCATGAGATGCTTAAGCTTGGTATGCAATTTTATAATCTGTTCCAGCTTTAGACTTCAGCAGAGCTGTATTCATAGCCTATCTGGTTGTATATTGGCTTTTTATATTGAGAAATGCTTCTTACCAAACTTGTATGGCATAGAGAGAACATTTGTAGTCATTTTGAGAGTATAGTAAGCTAGAATGACTCTGTTTAGTAGCTATGTGACTTCCTTAAATTGTTGGTTGCACTCTTAGATCTTATCTTAGGAGATTTACTGTAAAGGTAGATGAAACCAAATGCATGAAATATTCACAGGTATACCAAAAATGAGATAAAACCTGACTAGTAAAGAACCAATTTTTGTTGTTCAGTCACATATGTAGCATTATGAAAGGATCATGGCCACAATATTATAAAGAGCCAGACTGTTAATAAATACCTTCATATAACGCAAGATTATCTTTTGAGTCTAGATGTTAGTTTGCTATAATTCAACTCTTAAAACATTTTTAAAAGTATTTATGCTGTGTTTGCTAAGGTTAGAAATCTCACAGTATAACCATAGCCTTTACCTTTGTAAGAATGTTTTTATTTATTCTGAATCCTTGATATCGGCATCCGCGCTCCTCCAATTATTTATTTCTCCATCTTTCTCTCCATTTGAAAAAACTATATGAAAAAGCAGAAGAATGTATTTTTTTCTGATGGAGGCATATAAACCCAGACTTTGGTGTTCGTCTGAGGGATGAGTCAACAAAGTGATAAAGTGTTCAATGGCCTAATTAAGAGAGTGGTGTTAGAGACAGCGAGCAAAGAGAATGAAGGACACAATGACTACCTCTGAATAGTCAGGACACACTGACTGAGATGCATGCCAAATTAGGTTGACACACAGGTTTCATCCACTTGTTTAGAATTTGTCTGAATTGTCCTTGCTTAAATGGAAATCTTTTAATCTTCCAGCAAGATAGGTTTTCAGAATAGAGATTCACCCATTAAGATTTTTTCAATTCACACATACATAAGATCCTGATACTTCTCTAATTCCAAACCTACATTTGCTTTAATGTTATCAGCATTACTGGGATTTTTTAAAAAGACTGCCATAAAGAGCAAGTATGAATGCACATATGTATATCCCCAAAGGCAGCTTCAGATTAGCAGTACGTTAGGATAAGAAGTCATAAAAACAGTAAATCATATTACCAGGAAAAAGTCCATTCCCATTCCCCATGCGTACACCACCTGTGTGGGTCACTGATGAGCTTAGAAGAACCTGGATAACAAGCCCAAGCTGTTTTACAAAAATATCTAACAGCATCTGACTAAAAATGGAGGTACTTCCCAAACAGGGCAGGATCCCATCCACTTAGGCCTGACTTTGGACACCGTTGCAAGATTCCCAGTAATAGGGCTGTTTTGTTACACCTGACTCTCCAATGTTCTTATTTCTAGATCTCTCCAATGTATACTTTAAAATATCTCTTGAAGTTAAGAGTTTTTTTTTTTAAATATCCAAAAAAATATCTTTAAACCATGACTTTACATTTCCAGAGAGAGATCATTAGATGATGTTAGATCTTTTTCAGTTAAAGAGACATTTGGGGCGACAGAAGGAGTCTAAAGGGTTGTCGGTTCTAGCCCAGGCCAGAAGGTCAGTGTGTTTAAATGGGTGAATGACTGAATGTGTAAAGCACTCTGGTCAAGTCTCCTGACATGAAAAAGTGCTATACATATACAGTAAGTACACGCTTTTTACCATTATGAAATTTTTCACTGAAAACCATTGTTAATTTAACCTTTTCATTAGACGCTTTACAACTAAAGCATTATTTCATGAGCAGATTAACACCTCAGTAGTTTAGCGCCAAAGCAACTATAAGTCTGTAGCCTATTTTCCCTAAATGTACTTCGAATTGAAAGTACCTGCAGTGTTCTGTTGATGTGAGATAAAGTACGTCCATCCTAGATGAGTCCAACCTAGCAAACAATAGAAGCTAATATTTAAGATAGATTTTGTTGACATTCAGAAGCGACTGGTATCCAGCTTAACTAAGAGACCAATGCCGACAAACATAAGGTAAAAAAAAAAAAAACAGAACGAGCAGAAGGGTGTTGCAGATTTGTGTTTTGGCCACAGGTGGCAGTATCATTAGAAAATGTGTTATTCATCTTTAAAAAAAGCTGAATCTTCATCCTCCGACATTTTGAAGCAAATCAGTCTAATAAAGTTAATTTCTTTGTATAGGCAATATAGTATTTTAACTTACTCTCGATATTCTGATAAAAAATACATTTTAATTATATATTCCTCTCATTTCTTGTGTTAAGTGTGCAATAAAAGCCTTCTTGAAAATAATTGACCATTTTGTCAGACTTATGAATTTAAACAAATTAAACAAGTTCTTAGGTAATACTACACTAATTAATTGTCTCTGGGAATTGACTTGAGATGACGGGTATTGTGAATTGGCGCTATAAAGAAAAAGTGAATCTAATTGAATTAATGAAACGATTATAAATTTTAATACTGATGCTTTTTATACAAAATAGTTAAGTCTTAATCTGAACGTTAAAAAAATAAGCTAAATTAATACAGTATAGTTTGCAAATACATTTTGACAAAGTGTGTAAGAGTTTAGTGCTGTGAAACTTCTATGTGGCTCTGTACAAGACTATTACCGTAGTAT